AAATTTGGAACCTGTAAATTAAAATATTAATAAACTAAACAATCTAAACCAAGATCCAAACATATCACTCAATAAATATATTTGATAATCAAACATAGAAGATAAAACACATATTCCATTAAGAATTTAGATATTAAAATGTGCAAATCATCTAAAATGATAATTCCAGCACATATCAAAATGTTATAAATCCAATATTACACAATGCTAATCACATAGACATATCAAAATCCCAAAAGAAATCTGAATCCAAAAGGGGAGCTAGATTGCAATCAATGTGAAACCTACAAAAATAAAAAAAAATAAAAAATAAGAATAAGAATAAATGAGATTAGAATTTAAAGGCTGAAATAAAATTTTAAAGATTATTTTAGAGAACTTGATATCCTGGTGAGAATACACTACAAGAAAATCGGATTTTTACAACCTGTAATTAATGACATGCATAAAAAGTAAGTCTTGTTAAGTACTAATTTAAACCTCATGTTTTGAGGAAGTCATTACATATTATATCTATGGCTTGCACTTAATTGCCTATTCAATTTTTTTTTTTTATTTAAAAAACCTATATTTTTAATTATAACGACCTATTTGTTACATTGTCAATGTTGAGCCAAAATTGAATTTAAATTAACATCATTCCCTTCCTATGCCTTGTGGAAAAAAAATTCCTGCACCGTAAGCTCACTAACTTAATGTCAGCATTCACTATTACAATCAGCTACTATACACAAATTCAACAACTCTCATTTCTTCTAGAATCCATCTCTAAGGCTGTAAAAATTCTAAATCATTCATGCATTGACAAAAAGCTTAGTGAGGTCCACATTGGGAAACAATCAGGTGTTCCACTATTTTTCCATTCAATCATTGGGTGATCATTTCTTTGAATCAGGAATATGCTCTATGAATTTCCTTCTATTATTTTTGAATGTTGAAACAATTAGTTGAATGAAGACAATATCTTTATGAGTTTTTAGCCTTATTATTCCCTAGAGTATTTTTTTTCTTTGAAGATTTTCAAGTTTTCACAAATTCACTAGAATCAATCTACTGTACAAGTAGGATATATAATTTCTTTCCTTTTTTTGTTTGTTTGTTTTTTTTTTTTTTTTTGGGTTGATTTATATTTGGTCAACGATGAAGCTAATTTTATATTAATTTTGTTAATTTATATTTAGAATTAATAACCATGTCTGCATGATTGATCCCATTAATATATCCCATGGAATGAGCTTTCTTATGAGTGATGAATTTAAGTTGTTTGAGTGCTCCTATATGCTTATAAATTGGTAAATCACTTAAAAAAAAGTTGCTTGACTTGATAGTAATTTTCCCTTTAATATGTGGAAATCTTCCAAAAAATTTCTAATTATCAACTAATTGATAATGTTCTCCAAGCCATCGCTTTAGGGAATTAATTTATTGTGATTGTAATAGAGATGCTGAAATGAATGCACACATAAGAAAGACCTAATTCAAATGGTTTGTTCACATGCAATAAAGATAACTAAACTATACTATAGACCCAACTATTAATTTTTGGAAACAAAAGAAAATTAATAAAGTACTTTATATTTTAACTTTAAATAGAGCATTAATTTGATTTTATATGGATCACAAATTGATTCAAGAACATTTTAGTTAAAATAAAATAAAATATGACTTTCATAACTAATTTGTTACATGTAACGTCACTCTTCTAACATTTAACAAAATGTAGTGGGGAGGATTGCAAGTGTTTGAATTGGTAAGTTGAGGTAGATTTGTTGCCAAGTCTTTTAACAAGTTGTCTAATATGTAAACTATAATATATCTCTCTTCAGCATGTTTCAACCAGGAATGGAACTATGTGTGATCATCTGTGATGCAAAGTATAATTATTATGTTTCATTGCCTTTTTCTAGGTAATATCATTATTGTTATCCCACAATATGTACTGCAAAAAAACAAATTATGATTAACATTACTAGCTTAAATGAAGAAGTTACCAGATTAACCATAGAATTATCCATATACACATGCAATTCTTCTTTTTTTCTTTTTCTTTTTTTATCACTCTCAGTCTCACCTAAGGTTTGAATTAACTTTCTGTCGCATTACAAAGTTTTAGAGGTAAGAGATTCAAAATTCTCTCTACAAAACATATATCACATATGTATATGTATGTGTATATGGATACATTTGTGCTATTTTAATTAATTGCATAATTTTATTTTGCAATTTCATCAGATCATATCTGATTTTGTTTCGATCTTCCAACCATTTCCGGTACATTAAGTTTAATCTTCATAGATTTTTTGATAATAAAGATTTAAAATTGACAAGTACAAGACAATTTCATCCCAAATCTACACCATCACGGAAGTGCACCAAGCAGACAAAGGTCTTCAATGAGTTCTTCAACTTCATCCCTTATTGTTGAGTTTTATTTTGAGTTTGTACTTCTCTTTAGTTTTGATGTTGTGAGTTAGATTGTGAGAATAAGATCTGATGCTAAAATTGAGGTTAGATTGAAAGAATATGAATCTGATGTAGAAATTGAGGTTATATATATGTGTGTGTGTGTGCGCGCATTATTACGATTTATATGCATTATTAAGATTTATCATCAAGTTCTCTTATAGGATTTTCAAACATCTTAAGTTTCTAGATGTCTTGTACTTGGGTAGGATTTGGTTAGTAGTTTTTGTTTGGGTTGGTTTTGCCTAAATTCTAACACTTGTAAGTATTATTCACATCAACATATAATGTTAGCTTACTAAAAAAATTAAATAAACTGGGCAATGGGGCAATTTAAATGGGAGCGGGGATAGATGATGGGAGCTACGGTTATTGGTCTGTGCGTGCTGGTGTAGTTGTGATTATGATGCAGTGTCTTTGATCTTTTGTGCTCCGTTATTTTATATTTTTTAATTGGGTTTGATCTAGCAAGAGGTAGCCCTGCTTGTCAGTTGGCTTTACTTTATGTTGCTGCAGTTTTTATGGTGCTTTTTGGAAAAATGCTACCTGTTTTGTGGGTTTCTATTACTGATTTGTTGGGGTTGTTTTTGTTGGTGCTTCGGGCAGGTCCTTTAGTGCCTCCTAGGTAGATACTAGCTAACTTTGTTGTCTACATGTATTATTTGTTGGTGTTGCTGCTTCAATGCTTGTGGTCATTTATTGTTGGTATTTTGCTTTGCTACTTTGTTTTGGTATGCTCTAGGGGCATGTAGTCTCTTTTTTAAGTGGTCAATGTTGTTTTGTCCATTGGCCTTGGCTTCTATTGTACTCCATTGTTTATATCTATACAAATTTTACTTTACCCATGGGAAAAAATTTATTTATTAGAATGGCTATTATTTAGCTTTCTTGGGTGGTTATTGCTCAAGATCTTTCAATTGATACTATACTTAGTGGTCAATATATTTCATGTATTCATTTTATTTATTTTTTCTCTCCTTTTTAGTTTGGATGTGTTGCTGGACATACTCATTAACAGAACATTTAATTAGATATTTTATAGTTGATGTAAACTTCAATTATTGATAATTTTTCATTAGTTCAAGTAAGAATTTTTATTTTTATGTTCCTAGTTCAAGTAAGAATATTTTCATGTACCTGTAAGTCAATTATACTGAGTATTCTATTCATATGCTTATAACAACATTCTGATGATATGTTCATGTTTACTACTTTGTCCGAGTTGAATGCCCATATTGATAATTCTTTATTGGTTTGGTTTTCATCTTTCAACTAGTCTCTTTTTTCTTAACAATTAGTATTCTCTGAATATGTTTTTCTAACTCTTTAAAGACTAACTCAAAAAAATTGTGCGTTAAACAAATATTAGAATTTTATATTATAAGAAAAAATGAACCAGACAAATCTAATATTTGGTCTAAACGAATGACCACAATTGCTATATTATGGTTGCTTAGCTGATTGGTGTTGTCATCAAACCATGTAAAGTAGGTAAAAAAAAATTTAATGACTTCCGATGCATTTAAATAAATTCAAAACAATTAGGAATGTACTAATGTCGGAAATGCAACACATGAAACAGGTAGAAAGAAATTAAATTGAAAATCAAGTAATTCAGTTCCTAAGCATAGGAAAGGACTTAATTAAAATTGAACAATCTAGATATTGTGATGAATTCATCCATTGATTTATGTATTTCACAAGTCCTTGGTATGTTCATAGTTGTTAAGTTCCTGTTATTTTGTGAAGCCTATATTTGTGAAGCCTATGATGTATAGCACCGTTGTTTTGTAAAATCCTAGCAAGATACATGTATGTAATGTATGTATTTTCCTTGTAAATAGATTTAGAAATGGTGTTTTGGTAGACAACTGGGGTAGTTCTCCTACCATTGTTAAATATATGATAGATATTGTCAATAAATGACTTAAAAATATAGTATCTTTTATAATTGTTCCCCCCATTGATTTGTGTTAAATCTGTTCTAACTTATGAGCTATATACTCCTTTGGTTGTCAAAGAACTTCAATTATCTCGGTTTTGGGTTAAGTTATCATCTATGGTCAATTGGAGAAAATGATATATATATATATATATATATATATATATATATATATATATATAACTCTTGCAACCGTGGGAGTTTTCTACAATTCTATTTTAAAATTTCTCTAGTTCTTCCTTGGAAATGAATTTGTATCAGGGGATGTAGTGCTTCAAACGCTACAAAATATTTACCGTACATCCCCTCTGTGTCTAAAGTCTCTCTGTAAAATTTGATAATTTTTGGACAGGTGTGTATTTTCTATAAAAAAACATTGACCATCTGCTGCCCAGTTTTTATTTTTTTATTTTTATCACAGTTCGGGGACTGATTTTGAGAAAATGATTTAATGGACTTCCGACATCATTAAATTATGAAACTTTCTAGTTCATGTGTCTAGTTTATAAAAACAAGGCTGCAAAATTTTATCAGCTCCATAAACAACTAAGCAAGAAACTAAGTCACCCTTATGCCTTTTTGTGATGTACTAAGACAAAATCCACATAACTAGACTTTTACTTTTACTATAGACTATTGGGCAATACATTACACAAGTAAGAAGTTACCAACTTTATTTTTAATTGATTAGTTAGTTCTACAGATTTTTTAATGTTAACCATTTTGAATCTACTTTGGCTAAATAATTAATTTTTTGAACAATCCAAATTAACCAATAACCCATTCAGTAAAAAATATTTAACCAATGACTCAAAAAAAATAAAAAATAAAAAAATAAAAATAAAAATTGACAAGAAAGTTAGAGGGACAACATCTCTAATGTAATTTGGACACGTCAAAGAATTCAAGGATTCAAGATATAAGTACAAGTGGACAAGACTTCCCATGCCTTGCCTTCCATCTCATCTGTATTTTTCTTTCCTCTTTGTTATGGGGTCACTATAATTGACAAACGAATCATAACTAAAAAATACATTCTAACAATTTAAGAAAAAGCATTGTAATGAGAATCTTCTCTCTTCAAGTAAGCATTCAACTGTTTTTTAGACAGTAGAATCTTGTGAGAAACATATAAAAACTCAGTATTATATAATAGAATAAAATGAAAAAAAGAACAATTAACAGAAGAAAACAATAAACAAGCACATCACTGTGAGAAGATTTATATCTAATATGGCCATGGCACAAAGTAAAATTGAAAACTTACTACCATACACAAATAGAAGATGTTTATTATAGTGAGTAGAACTAGTTTTACAAATTACCAATAAAATCCTCAGAAGAAAATAAACTATGTTGATGTATTTGTTCCATCCTCTTATAATTACTACTGTTCAAGCACTCAATTTATCATTGGTTTGCCTTGGAAAGCAGTGCAGGATTGTTGTATCAATGCATATTTAGTCCACACCCATGTATACACATACACACGCACATACGGAACACAAAGCATGAGAAATTCACCCCAATCCCTATTCAAATCCAATAAAATCACGTTAAGGGATCAAATAATGCATGTTTGAATCAAAATTCACAAAAAAATGAATAAAAAAAAAAAAATCAAAGACCATAATATACACACAAATATGATCGATCCGAATAAAACTAAAAGAAAAAACACAACAGGGACATACATGATCAATCTAACTCAACTTGTTCTTTAATCAATTAAACCCACGTTTGGCTTCAAAAACAATATTTAATGCAAACAAAATCAACTAATAATTTGATTTTAAAGCAAAAACCCCAAAAACGGGAACCGAAAACCTTCTAAACCCATATATACATAAATATATATATATAGAGAGAGAGAGTATATAAATGCTATGTTTCATAAGATGCAACAGTACATAACCAAACCTGTTGGTTTTATCCTCCCACAGAATAACAGTTACTTTGACAACCAATGAAGACCACAAATAGAAACTTGAAGCACAAATATCAAACAGGGAAATAGAACTTACAGTAAGAGGACATTTTGAAGCTGACCGAGTTCTTGAGGAATAGGACCGTAAAGGTGATTATTTGAAATGTCTCTACAATGGAATATCATGATAACAAAGGTGAACACTGGACAAAGAAAATGCAATAATACCCATAATTGCAGTTAAAGATTCCTTACATCTCCATAATGCTTCTTAGATTACCAAACTCAGCTGGTATATAGCCAGCCAAATTATTCCTGCTTAAGTTCCTGCATATAATTTAGGGTTGTCAGCAAAAATAAAAATAAAAATTGGTACATGATTCCTTTAAATGTAAAACTCACAGTTTCAGAAGATACTCCAAATCACCAAGGGAAGAAGGAATAAAACCATATACAAATGGAGAGAGATAGTAGTACCTGAATCATGGGCTTTGCTGGGGATGGAAACGAGGGGTTTGCCTTGGAATCAAGAGGACGTACCGTGCTGGTATAATCCCGATCACCTGCCTTCGAAATCTGGCGAATCCTTGGAGAGAGAATCAAGCGTGTGCCCCAGCCACCGCCACTAGTGAGGTCCGGCGGCAACTAGGCATGAACGGCCCATGAATTGGTGTCCTCGGAGGAAGAAGTAGAAGAAGAAGTCGGTCTGGTAGTCATATATTTTGTTGGGTTTCGCTGATCCAACTGAAAGTCTCCCCAATTTCACTGAAACTGCAATTAGGTAATGAAAAGTAAATTAACGCTCTGGCTTCATAAAATCCCAATAATTGAACATGTATGAATTAAATTATGAACAAGTTGTGAAGGCATTAATTAGCTGATTGAACAGAATCAGATCAAAATTAATTATGCACTAAACTAAATCATACAGCTTTGAATGCAATATCACAGTCCACAAGTAAATAAGGAGCAGTGAGATTCAAAGAGAAGGATAATGCGGTGCATATGAAGAGGAATCGTACCGTCCGATTCGTCGGACGAAGCAACGGAGAGACTCCAGCGATTTCTAGAGAAGAGATCCAAGTTCTCATCCGTATCCTTGGAGATTCCGTTGAGACTGAGACCTTGCCGGTGCTGCGACCTCCCTCCGATCAGAGATTCCTTCAAACTGTGATTCATTTCTACGGATCCAACACCATTACCATCCCCAATACACAAGCAATTAGCTAGAGTACACATCTCGCGTTCCCTCTCTTGATTGTTCAAAAGCTTCGACGCCGAAGCCTGAATCACGACTATTTGAATGTGTGCAGTTTAAGGATGTCACAGGAAGTGTTTGGGTAGGGTTTAGGGCTTGAGTTGGAAAAAGTGATACAGCACCAACACGTTTGGGTACCGTGATAGAAAGGGGAAAATATATTTGGGCGGGAATATAAAATAATTAGACCGCCTGAAGGAATATTTTGGGGGGAAAAAAATAAATAAAACATTTTTCATAATGTATTCAAAGATTCCATCGTCTAACCAAGATATGAATTAGATTATGACTTTACTTATATGTAATAATATTATAATGTTATGATAGTCATTATACAGTGATTTTTAAGATTTAATATTAATTATCATTTTTAATAAGTAATTAAGTTCACTAAAAATCATCACAACACTGATTCAAAATAATTAATTAAAATAAATAATTGAATAGTTCATAGGAATAAGTTCTTAGAAATTTTTTTATTAAAAAACTAATTTTCTCATATAAATATATTTGCTTCTTAATTTAATAAAAAAATATTCATCTATTTATAAAATAAAATAACAATTTCTTTTTATAATTTTTATTTTTCGTAGTTGGAACTCTGAATTAGATTGCATATATGATGGGTAATTTTATAGAAAATATAATTTTTTGGAAAAGACAAACTTCTAAAAAAATAAAAATAAAAATCATATTTACAATTATTTGAAGTATCAATAAGTGTGTATATACTATACACACTAATTGATAAATAAATTAAGAATACATCAAACATAAGTAATAAAATACGTAACAAGATTTAATCAATAGATAAATATATGATATTTTACTAATAGGCTCACAGCCTTGTACACAAAAGTATCACACTACGTTTTTACTTTATGCCTAAAAGTCATCCTCTAGATGCATGCTTTATATATAGGATAATGCTTCAGTTCTGCCCCATCAAGATAAATTGTGCCGTGCACACTAACGTGTCAAATAAGAGGTTGACACCTCTTTTAAACTTAAAAAGAAACAAAACATGGATCATAACCATTTTTTAGGGTTAAACCCAACAAATCTATTTTTTTCCTCTCTTTGCTTCCATCTGTGTATCTCGTTTCGTCTGTATCTTTCTTCGGCTCAAGATCCCTCTAGAGACTTTCCCAATCCCACTATTGCACCTTCTTGCGGGTGGAGAGCAAACCGGTACAAGAAGCACATCGCTTCTAATCTTCTTACTAAAAGAACAATCATCTCTTAGACTTCTGCTGGATCACACCGATTATAGATAAAAATTTGTTGCACAATAATATATCTTTCAAAGATTGATATGCAAATCGAAGCTTATAATTAAAGTATGAAGCTCAATACTCTATGAATGATATGTATGAGAGGATGAATAAGATGAGAACAAAAACTTTTTGATACTCAAGAAAATTTCTCAATTTCTCTCCAATGCATCCTCATAATGTCCAAAACATTATGTATTTATAACTCCTTGAAAAATATAGCCGTTAGGTGTAAATTCATTTTCTAAATCTGAAATTTTAGTCCATTAGAATGGTCACATGAGTTATCTATTGGTCTAAAGTGATTAGATATATGCCATATCTGTTCGGACAATTGGAGAATCTAATCGGTTAGATTATGGAAGTGATTGGTAGGATCAGATCCTGTTTCATCGCGCTTTCTAAAATTTAATCCATCTGATCGATTACATAAAGCATCTGATCGGCCACTTGGACACATCTGATCAGTTACATTGGTGAACTGATCGGTTAATTGAAAAACCATAAAAGATGCGAGTTCACTAGTTTTGGCATCCTATCGATAGTATAACTGATCTGATCGGTCAGATGAAAAATAAATAAATTTTTTATTTTAGTCATCTGATAGACAGCATGGGCTGTTACTTCTGCATACCTTATTTCTATTGAAAACATTTAAGTAAATAAGGAAGTACCTCCTATTTGAATTCAGTAAAAAATATAAGAAAATTAAAATCAAACTAAATCAAAAATATAATAATTTAGTTTTAGTACAAATTGGGGTTCCCGAAAGTTTTGGTAAAACTCAATCTTCCGTGTAGGCCTATGTAGAATTGATGAAAAAATCCCATAAAATCAGTTTAGACTATTTAAAGTGTAAGGAGTAATTACCGGGAAAAATAATTTTGAAAATATCTTTATTTCAAAAATTCATATTTTCCATACTTAGTAAAAAAACCAAGAAACGGTTTTTCATGAGAAATGCCCGGATCGTAAAGTCATTTACCAAGTCATGGTAACAAAGGTTTTGTGGATGAAAAAGTAAGTTCAATATTCCTATCTTTAAACCCTATTTACTTTAATGTTAATTTCTATTGCATTTTCATTTAATTCAACTTTAGTTTAATCAATCGAACAAACTTCCTTTCAATCTCACGTTCACTACGTCAAGTTAGATTCCAAGCCCTATATCCCAGTAGACGATCCCTTCTCACTATACTCACGTATAAGTGTTAAGTGACTTTTATAAATGTAAAAGTTGATACACATTTGACATATCAAATATAACACATTTTTGTGGTACACACCAAAGTCACATCAACATTCAAAAGTGCTACTAATATATTCAGAACTTCTAATTCATTATTCTGCTAGTATACTCGTAATTGAAGTGAATTAGTGAACACCTTTAGAACTGCTAATAGCCTAATACATTTTTAGAACTACTAATTCAACAAGAAACATCTTAGTTCAGAAAATTAACCAACAATATGTAGCCACTATAAAATTATATTACTCCATAGTATATGTATAATTTGATACATATACATATACATAACTTAACGGTTCGATTTGGTCGAGTTTTGATCTTAAAGGACCTCAAACCTTGAACAAATTGTATTTTTTTTTAATATATATATATATTATCTTATATAAATTTAAATATGAATTATACAAATTACCCCTTAACTTTATTATTAGAATTAATTTATCATTAAAAAAATTATTTATAACTGCCATTTTATAAAATGATTAACTTATTATTAGAATATTGGAGCATTTTTGCAATAGGTGGTATTAGGCATAAAAAAAAATTCAAGGGGGTTATTTGCAAATTCAAACAGAGTTCAGGGAGTTTTTTGCACTTTACCATATATTTATATATATACACACACTTTTATATATTAAAAACATACCTTATGATAATTTTTAATTTTTCTTTTTATTTCCTAAAAAAGTATATGGTGATAGAAGGCTAATTTGTGACAAGAATTTACTTTTTTGTGATGAAATATCCTTTGTCGCTAAAAGATAGAAATTGGCGACAAATAATTTGTCACTAAAAGTCTCTTAATTGTGACAAAGTGAGTTTTGTCACAATAACTCAATCTTTGGCGACAATGTATCATTTGTCACTAGAAGGTTGTTTGTAGCGACAACAATTTTTGTCATTAAAATGCCATCAATTGTGACAAAGCTATATTTGTCACAATAACTCAATCTTTTGCGACAATGCATCATTTGTCACTAGAAGGTTGTTTGTAGCGACAACAATTTTTGTCGTTAAAATACCATCAATTGTGACAAAGTTATATTTGTCACAATAACTCAATCTTTTGCGACAATGCATCATTTGTCACTAAAAGGTTGTTTGTAGCGACAACAATTTTTGTCGTTAAAATGCCACCAATTGTGACAAAGCTAAATTTGTCACAATAACTCAACCTTTTGCGACAATGCATCATTTGTCACTAGAAGGTTGTTTGTAGCAACAACAATTTTTGTCGTTAAAATGCCAGCAATTGTGACAAAAGTATATTTGTCATAATAACTTAACATTTTGCGACAATGCATCATTTGTCACTAGAAAGTTGTTTGTAGCGACAACAATTTTTGTCGCTAAAATGCCACCAATTGTGACAAAGCTATATTTGTCACAATAACTCAACCTTTTTGCGACAATGCATCATTTGTCACTAGAAGGTTATTTGTAGCGACAACACTTTTTGTCGTTAAAATGCCATTAATTGTGACAAAGCTAAATTTGTCACAATAATTCAACCTTTTGCGACAATGCATCATTTGTTACTAGAAGGTTGTTTGTAGCGACAACAATTTTTGTCGTTAAAATGCCACCAATTATGACAAAGCTATATTTGTCACAATAACTTAATCTTTTGCGACAATGCATCATTTGTCACTAGAAGGTTGTTTGTAGCGACAACAATTTTTGTCGTTAAAATGCCATCAATTGGGACAAAGCTATATTTGTCACTAAAATCTAGTTAATCGCGACAAAGCTATATTTGTCACTATATTGTAATTAGTTGCGACAATATATTTGTCACTAAAATCAATTTTGTCGCCATACCCTTTCCTGCCATATAGCCAGACGTGAGGAAATTTCCGAGGTAGATATTGCGACAACTTTTGGTGACAAATTTGGTTTTTGTCGAGTAAAATTAGCTTAAGGCGATAAAGTTACTTTTTGTCACAAAAGATCATTTTATTGCGACAAATTTATCTTGTCGCTATAGTTTTTGTCGCCAAAGACCAAATTTGTTGTAGTGATTTGTGTGCTAGCTTGAGACTATGGATGTAATCATTTCTTTAGTTGGCTAAGATAGTAACATATTTGATGCCGGTTCACTCAAAAAGGATTCTAGAGTTGTTTTGATTTGCATGATCATTTTCTTGATGTGTGGAGAACCATACTTGCTTGCTTGAAAGGCTTGTTGCATGTGCTAAATCCAATCGTGTTCGCTACGAAAGTGGCGTTATTCATTTATTGCTTTCTAGTTCATAGTTATTTAGTTGTTCATTTCATTCATTTTCTTTGTAGTTCATTGATAGGGACTAGCAATATTTAAGTTTGGGGGTGTGATGAGCGCTGAAAAGTGCGCATTTAAATCCCTTAAGCTTGAGTATTCTAGAACCTTTATCTATCTTATTTTCCCGTCTTAGACTAATTTCATGTTATTGCCCTTTTCAGGTGTTTATACCAAAAATAAGTCAATTAAGCCAATTTAGAGCTTAAAAGAAGCTATCTCAAGCTGAATGGAAGAAAGGAGCAAAAAAATGCAAAGTGGTGGAAAACAACAAGTTTCGATCGATCTGACAAAACTTCGATCGATCTCAAAGTGATCGATCTAGCCTCATCAAGATTGATCAAACACCTTGTCCTTATCCTCAAGAATTTCCATCTTTGATCAATCTCACTGTTATTTCGATCGATCGAACTTCCTTGATC